GACCACCAACAGAAATATACATCACAAGTTCAAGGGAAATGAACTAACAATAATTTATTTTAAAGTTGCAGATGCATAGAATGTCTAGATATAGAAAGCAGAGTTACTCACGGGGGAATTCATACTCACCCTTCTCATACATGCCAACGTTATTCTTCATGAACTTGGCAAGCTGGGAGCCATGTGAAGCTCCCATGATACTGATGTAGTCATGCCACCAACGCATATAGCTACTCTTCTCCAAGAAAATCTCCGGTGACACTGAGTAATTCTTTAGCAACCCATAAACGTACCCCTCGAACTCCTCCAACCTCTCCATCTCCTCTTGCTTCTCTGCATCATTCGATCCTGCAATCATCTTCAATTTTCGCAACGAAATGAGAGCCTCTTCCACATGTGCCCAGAAGCAAGAATCCATTGTCAATATAGATTGCACGTTCTTCCTGTTTATCGGCTCCGGTTTCCTGTCTTCTTCCTGCCACTTCTGTAGTTGTTTATAATGCTCGGCTCTTCCTTTATTTATGTAGTCTTGTCCTCCCTCCTTGTAGTAGTGAGCTATGTCCAATGGTTCCACCATTCTCCTGTAATTGGTCCCAGCGTAGAGCCATCGAGTACGAAAAACTACACTTTCTTTCTGGGGCTGCTTATCTACCTCTTCTACTATATCTTTCCAGTAATTGTTGAGGATTTTCACGAACATGAAAACGTCTTGGTCCCTTGGAAACCGATCGTTCTTGTAACTGTCATAGTACCCTGTTTTCCAATTCTTCGATGTTTTCTTGTACCATTCCAGGTGAGCCATATATGTTTTCATTTCATCCAGCTTCTTGTGCGGGATAAACTGTTTCCTCTTTTTCAGAGTCAACAGCAGCTCCTGCCTCTCCAAATCTTTCACCAGATTCTGACACATCCATTTTAAAAACACGGTCATTCCTAATTCGGTTTGTCTCACGTTTCAATATTGAATTCTAGCATGATTTTTTTTTTCTCGAGGAAGAAAAAGATGTAATCTTCTAAAACTTGTGCATTCCTCCCCCCCCCCCCCCCCGCATAGATTAGAAATTGGGGTCGAGATATACCTTCAACAATGGTGGATCTGAAAATCCCAGCGTCTGCAACTGCAAAGCAAGACTTGCCTGCAGTAAATTCTGACAAGCAGTGTTGGGAACGCCAGAGTCCTTGAAAATTGCCTTGCTATTGAGCATCTGGACAATATCTCCATATCCTTGAATTTGCAACAATCCTTGATCCGGGGGACTCATTTCCTTGAGAAGCCTCAAAATAGAATCAGGGTTCTCAGAACAAGTAGAACCGTGATCAGAACACAAGAGGAATGTTCCAAAGGGCCTGTAAAAACCATTGGAAATGAAAGAGGAAGGCAGTGGGTCCCGGTGAGAGGCTACATGAAGAAAGCAAGAGTTCCAGCTGGTGCTTCGAGATATGGCTTCTTGCAGGTGCTGGTCTCCAACAAGTGGGGAACCAAAGGTGATGCAGAGCGGACGCTTGTCTGATATTGGCCGCATCTTTTCTATCAGCCATAGAGTGAAAAGAGAAGCAATCGATCCTCCAACGGCATGCCCAGTGACTATCACCGGTTTTCGGAGATCGATCTGCATTCAGCAAAAGCCCACACACCTAACTATCAGTCTCAATTCTCAACAGTCACTTTTGCTTGAGTTCAGCATCATTTTTTTTTTGTTTGACCAGTTCGACTGTCTGGTAAGAAAGTCAACGTGCTAACAAATCTTCGTAACTCCCCGTGGATCCGCCATCCACAGGTTTTTGAGGATGTGAAGGAGAAGTACGTACCTCGCTTTTTAGTTGATGAAGCATCGGGAGATAACCATTGAAGAGGGACATTACAGACCGATTAAGAGAGAAGTAGAAGTTGGGGTTGTTTCTGGGACGGAGAAATTCGAAGGGGTTAGGAGTGATGTTCGAAGAAGGAAGCAAATCAGGTTCAACATGCTTCTGGGTAGTCCCAAACGCTATAATTGTCAAATCTGATCCATTGACAAGCTTTTTCCAGAATAGATTCTCGTTCGGATGGGTTGGGTTCAGGTCGCCGATGAGATTCCATGAAGAGGAGAGAAGACCGGAGCTGGCCACAAGAGATGCAATCTCTTGTCCACTGCTACATCTGCAGCCGAAAGAACAACCATTCAGTACAAGAAACAATAAGAGGCGGAAGTTATTCTTAAGAAGATAAAGGAATCAAAAAGTTTCAATTCACATACAATTGGGTCATCCTGAATCTTCAGTACCGTATTCAAGAGCAACTTGTACGAGACGACTCTAAGCTCTGCAAGATGATGATAAACAATGAAATGCGATAAATTAATTAATACGCCCAAGAAATGGAGTGCAGTGCGCAAGAAATTCCCTGGAAGGCACGGAGAAATGAGGTGCGAGACTCGACGACTTTCAAGCCAATGCGCGCCTCAAAGAGGTCAAAGTAATCATCTTCTAGTTTTGTTTATTATTATTATTATTATTATTATTATTATTGGTGTTAAATTGGGAGATAACCTATTAAGCACCTGTTAAATCAAGGGAAAATTTCAGTCCATATCCCTTGACCATACTTAATTTGAAAAAAAAAAAAACCCTCTTAAATTCTGAAACTTCATTTTAGATTATGAGTAGTGAAGCAAAATTAAAATGTTAAGAAAAATGACAAAATTAACCCTCTTTCAATTCTAAGCTCTGTGGTGATCACATCACTGCTTAGATATGCTGCAACTTCTGTTTGCCGTTGCCTTCTTTGCCATGCCTCTCACCCTCTACCTCCCCCCAATTTGAAGCTTCAATCTCTTTGTTTAGACCATCAAAAACTTCTTATGACAAACCATCGTCTATACTTTTGGAGCTTATTCTCGCGTGAATTTCGCTCTCAATTCTCTCATTTACCCAACCAAGTAGATTTTTTATAAAATTCACTTGGCCTTTTGAGCTGAATCATTGATCTTATGATTGAATCATCAAGAAATTTGAAAACTTTATATTTCCAAGATTTGTCACTATAATGAATAATCCTCGCTCATTATTAATTATATATAAAAATTGATCCTTTAGCTATTCTTAACTGTTACTATCTGTCAATTTTGTGAGAATATTAGCTTCATTGAAAATTTTGGGGGGTTCAAAAAGAAATTTCCTTGATAACTTATTGTAATTATGTTGTATACCATTTATTTTGTTGTCATCGACTATTGAATTGCCAAAGCCCCAATCAATCCACGATAGAGTTATAAACAAGTCATATAGAGAAATGAATAACTGCAATAGGGAAATGAACAATTTCAGTGTGATAAATTTGCAACTTCATTTATCATGATAACAACACTAAAAATAAAATTAAATGAAGTTATGCGCACAAACAACTCTTATAGAAAAAATAACCATTTCAATATGGATATTGAACAACTACAGTGTGTGAAATTTGTAATTTTTTTACCATGATAACAATACTAAGAATAAAATTAAATGAAACTATGCACACAAACAACTCCTGTGAAAAAAAATAACCACTTCAGTATGGATAATGAAGGGATTAGACATAATTTCTAACAACCTATAGAAATTTATGTCATCTCAACGCATTTTCCTACAATTTCATATGCTTTTTAATAAAATTGTGCATATTTTTGGTACATATAATAGAAAAATATGCATATCTCACACTTGAGTTTAAATGACAAAATCTTAATGTAAATTATGCATAATTCTTTATCTTGATATAATGAATCTTGGATTCATAAAATTTCTTGCCTTCTTAGGTTGTTGGAGCATTATTTGAGGAGCAAAGAAGGAGTTATGAAGTTATTATATCAAGAAAAAATCAGGCCTTAGCCCAAGCACTTTCGGCCTCAATTGAAAGCCAAAGACAGCATATTACTAACATGTTTTGGTTGCAGTCGAGGAAGAATGGGCTACAGTCGAAGTCTTGACCGAGAGGTTTTGACTGCAACCGAAGTCTTGATTCTAAGTACACTTCAGTGTGTTTAGTTTTTAATTTGCTAAAAGTTTATTTAATGAAAATTCATTTGACAAAAATCATTTTAATAAAAATCAATTATTATAATAAAATTTGTATTTAGATACATTTTTTTAAAATCAATTTAATAAATTAAAATCTATTTGAATTGATGATGATTTATACTTTTGAAATACAATTTTGAATATATAATGATAAAAAAATACATTGATTTATAATAATTTATAATTTTTGTTATATAAATATAATATATTAAAAATGTTTAAAAATGTAAAAAAATTAAAATAACATAAAATTTAATATGTTAAATAATAAGAATAAAAAATATAAAGTTTAATATTAAAAAAATTATATAATAAATAGTTTAACAGTGATTAATATTAAATGACATACTTTATAAATAGGATTAAAAATATTATTCTCTCTCTTTTTTATATACAAAAGGTTTACAAAATTGCCTCCCCATATAATCTATTTAGTCTTGTGACTATTACACTAAATTAAGAATAAAAAATATAAAGTTTAATATTAAAAAAATTATATAATAAATAGTTTAACAGTCATTAATATTAAATGACATACTTTATAAATAAGATTAAAAATATTATTCTCTCTCTTTTTTATATACAAAAGGTTTACAAAATTGCCTCCCCATATAATCTATTTAGTCTTGTGACTATTACACTAAATTTAAATTTTAATAAAATAGATCACCCGATAAGTATTGTAAGGAAATAAAGGTAGTATAATAAATTTAAAAACTCAACACAAGTCAATTTAAAAAGCTTCAAAAAATTAAGTTTTTAAATCTACTTCGAATAACTTTTTCAATGTACATTTTTTTTTGACCAAATTTTTCAATGTGTATTCAAAAAGTTATTTTACCTAATCATAAAATTTTCAAACACCATCCTATATTCCAAAATTATAAAAATATATCCCAACAGTTAAAAGTCATATATCCAAACGACGAGTTCAGCAGCCACCTCCCAGATCAGCCTCATTCCAAAAACATAATTGTGAATTGTCCTTCTTTCTATCAGTTCACATCAGAATTTAAAACTGAAATCTCTCTGAAGAGAAGACAGTATATTAAATCTCTGTAATACCTCTTACCTTCTGCACACGCGCTGAACTACGTACAAGTTAACACAACTACTTCATAACATGACCAAACATTTTGGCTGGGCTTGGAATTACTCAACAAAAACAGGCAGCGGCATTCCTCAGTCTCACTCATGACCACCAACAGAAATATACATCACAAGTTCAAGGGAAATGAACTAACATTAATTTATTTTGAAGTTGCACATGCGTAGAATGTCCGGATATAGAAAGCACGGTTACTCGCGGGGGAATTCATACTCACCCTTCTCATACATGCCAACGTTATTCTTCATGAACTTGGCAAGCTGGGAGACATGTGAAGCTCCCATGATACTGATGTAGTCATGCCACCAACGCATATAGCTACTCTTCTCCAAGAAAATCTCCGGTGACACTGAGTAATTCTTTAGCAACCCATAAACGTACCCCTCGAACTCCTCCAACCTGTTCATCTCCTCTTGCTTCTCTGCATCATTCGATCCTGCAATCATCTTCAATTTTTGCAACGAAATGAGAGCCTCTTCCACATGTGCCCAGAAGCAAGAATCCATTGTCAGTATAGATTGCACGTTCTTCCTGTTTATCGGCTCCGGTTTCCTGTCTTCTTCCTGCCACTTCTGTAGCTGTCTATAACGCTCGGGTCTTCCTTTATTTATGTAGTCATGTCCTCCCTCCTTGTAGTACTGAGCTATGTCCAATGGTTCCACCATTCTCCTGTAATTGGTCCCAGCGTAGAGCCATCGAGTACGAAAAACTACACTTTCTTTCTGGGGCTGCTTGTCTACCTCTTCTACTATATCTTTCCAGTAATTGTTGAGGATTTTCACAAACATGACAACGTCCTGGTCAGTTGGAGACCAATCGTTCTTGTACCTGTCATAGTACCCTGTTTTTCGATTCTTCGATGTTTTCTTGTACCATTCCAGTCGAGCCATATATTTTTTCATTTCATCCAGCTTCTTGTGCGGGATAAACTGTTCCCTCTTTTTCAGAATCAACAGCAGCTCCTGCCTCTCCAAATCTTTCACCAGATTCTGACACATCCATTTTAAAAACACGGTCATTCCTAATTCAGTTTGTCCCACTTTTCAATACTGAATTCTAGCATGATTTTTTTTTTCTCGAGAAAGAAAAAGACGTAATCTTCTAAAACTTGTGCATTTCCCCCCCGCATAGATTAGAAATTGGGGTCGAGATATACCTGCAACAATGGTGGATCTGAAAATCCCAGCGTCTGCAACTGCAAAGCAAGACTTGCCTGTAGTAAATTCTGACGAGCAGTGTTGGGAACGCCAGAGTCCTTGAAAATTGCCTTGCTATTGAGCATCTGGACAATATCTCCATATCCTTGAATTTGCAACAATCCTTGATCCGGGGGACTCATTTCCTTGAGAAGCCTCAAAATAGAATCAGGGTTCTCAGAACAAGTAGAACCGTGATCAGAACACAAGAGGAATGTTCCAAAGGGCCTGTAGGAACCATCGGAAATGAAAGAGGAAGGCAGTGGGTCCCGGTGAGAGGCTACATGAAGAAAGCAAGAGTTCCAGCTGGTGCTTCGAGATATGGCTTCTTGCAGGTGCTGGTCTCCAACAAGTGGGGAACCAAAGGTGATGCAGAGCGGACGCTTGTCTGATATTGGCCGCATCTTTTCTATCAGCCATAGAGTGAAAAGAGAAGCAATCGATCCTCCAACGGCATGCCCAGTGACTATCACCGGTTTTCGGAGATCGATCTGCATTCAGCAAAAGCCCACACACCTAACTATCAGTCTCAATTCTCAACAGTCACTTTTGCTTGAGTTCAGCATCATTTTTTTTTTGTTTGACCAGTTCGACTGTCTGGTAAGAAAGTCAACGTGCTAACAAATCTTCGTAACTCCCCGTGGATCCGCCATCCACAGGTTTTTGAGGATGTGAAGGAGAAGTACGTACCTCGCTTTTTAGTTGATGAAGCATCGGGAGATAACCATTGAAGAGGGACATTACAGACCGATTAAGAGAGAAGTAGAAGTTGGGGTTGTTTCTGGGACGGAGAAATTCGAAGGGGTTAGGAGTGATGTTCGAAGAAGGAAGCAAATCAGGTTCAACATGCTTCTGGGTAGTCCCAAACGCTATAATTGTCAAATCTGATCCATTGACAAGCTTTTTCCAGAATAGATTCTCGTTCGGATGGGTTGGGTTCAGGTCGCCGATGAGATTCCATGAAGAGGAGAGAAGACCGGAGCTGGCCACAAGAGATGCAATCTCTTGTCCACTGCTACATCTGCAGCCGAAAGAACAACCATTCAGTACAAGAAACAATAAGAGGCGGAAGTTATTCTTAAGAAGAAAAAGGAATCAAAAAGTTTCAATTCACATACAATTGGGTCATCCTGAATCTTCAGTACCGTATTCAAGAGCAACTCGTAAAAGACGATTCTAAGCTCTGCAAGATGATGATAAATAATGAAATGCGATAAATTAATTAACACGCCCAAGAAATGGAGTGCAGTGCGCAAGAAATTCCCTGGAAAGCACGGGGAAATAAGGTGCGAGACCCGACGACTTTCAAGCCAATACGGGTTCACCCATACATGATATTTCAAAATAAATTTTTTTATTATTTAAAAATAAATTATTTATATGTATTTTTAATAGTTATGTGATGTGTGCGTATATCAAATTTTAACCATTTAAATGGATCAGATTTGGGCGCTAAGGGACACTGAGAGGTTGGCCGCTGAGGGAATTCGATCCTGGTCGAAGTCATCGTCGTCTTATTTTTTTAATTATTATTTTTGGGGTCAAATTGAGAGATAAGCTAGCAAGCACCCAAATCAAGGGAAACTTTCAGTCTATATCCCTTGACCATGCTTAATTTTTTTTAAAAAAAAAACTTCTTAAATTTTGAAACTTCACTTCAGATCATGAGTAGTGAAGTGAAATTATAATGTTAAGGAAAATAATAAAATTAACCTTTTTTTAATTCTGAACTCTGTGATATCGAAGAGCCTCCCTCCACCCTTCAATCGTCCTTCCTCATCTCTACTATGATCGCGTAAAATGTTGTGACTTCTAGTTGTCGTTGCCTTCTTTGCCAAGCCTCTCACCCTTTACATCCCTCCAATCTGAAGCTTCAATCTCTTAGTTCAGACCGTCGAAAACTTCTTGTGATATACCACCGCCTATACCCTTAGAGCTTGTCCTTATGTGAGATTCGCTCTCAATTCCCTCGTCTGCCCAACCAAGTAGATTTTTTCTTGCTAAAAAATTTGCCTGGCCTTTGGGGCTGAACCATCCATCTTATGATTGAATCATCAAGAAATCTAGAGATTTTATTTCTAAGATTTGTAATTATAATGAATAATCCTTGCTTATTATTAATTATATGTAACGGTTGATCCTTTAGCTACTTTTAACTATTACTATCTATCAATTTTGTGAGAATATTAGCTTCATTGAAAATCTTGGGAGGTTCAGAGAGAAATTTTCTTGATGACTTATTATATTTCATTTATTTTGACTTCACTAGCTATTAGATTGCCAAAGCTCCAATCAATCTGTGGCAGAGTTATGAACAAGTTGTGTAGAGAAATGAATAATTGCAGTAGAAAAATGAATAACTTTAGCACGGAGAATTTGTAATTCTTTTACCATGATAACAATAGTAAGAATAAAATCAAATGAAGAGATGGACACAAACAACTCTTGTAGAAAAAATAATTATTTCAATGTAGACATTGAACAACTATAATGTGAGGAATTTGCAACTCTTTTTACTATGATAATAATATTAAGAATAAAATTAAATTAAACTATGAGCGCAACAACTCTTATGAAAAAAATAACTACTTCAATATAGATAATGAATAACTACAGTGTGAGGAATTTGCAACTCTTTTTAACCATGATAACAACATTAAAAATAAAATCAAGTAAAACTATATACATAAATAACTCTTGTAAAAAAAAACCACTTGATCTTCAATAAGTAGATTTCTTTTTGAACCCCCAAGATTTTTAATAAAGCTAACATTCCCATAAAATTGATAGACAATAGCTATAATGTCTATCTTAACATTACTAGAACACAATATATAAACATATTATAATAATCAAGATTAAATAAATCCTTATATTAGGTCATCATAATAGACAAGGGTTATAAAAATCAAGTTTAAAAAATGGGATCCTAAGAAAACTTTTTTTTACAAAAGTGTTTGAGCTTAAATAATAATTTAAAATATACATAAAGAAGTAATGGACGCATGGCACTTGAAAATATCACAAACACATATCAAACGAGGGGAAATTGGATAAGGTCCAAGTACTCTATTTGCCACGGTGAGTGGCACATAAGGTAGAGTCTCTCATTGTACCATGCATAGCGGCACACATGCCTTGCACCACAACGAACCCCTATTGTCACATCAACACTTTAAACCAATTTTTAAAGTGCATTGTTTCGTCATCCAATATTCAATTTGAAGAATTCAAGTGTTCCCACGAAGATATTTAAGCCATCTATCTAATGGTATTGATTTTACAACAAAATATTTTATCATTTAAAAGTTAGATACCCAAGTCTAAAAAGACACTTTTCTAATTCCAAACATACCCAAAGGTATTCAAAACCACCAACTACGTGCTAATAGCCCTAGGATTGCTTAAATCAATTAAAACAGACCACAATGCATCTAATTAAATAGGGAATTACATACACTTATATCTCAAACACATATTGACCATCAAACCCCGATTTCACAAAAATAAAGGCATAGACATAATTTCACATAACAATCTCATGACCATTCATACATGTACAATCACCACAATAATGATATTTGTACTAATAATTTGGCCTCTTCCAATAACTTTCATCACGATTACAGTATCCTAGGTCAAACTACATTAAAGAACCATATTCTCATATAATGACTTAAAATAATATATGTCCTAAGTTGGCATAACATTATATATTGTTAACAAAAAATACCAAAAGAATAAAGAGCTATACTATTATTCAATTCTTGATAGTGTCCTTCTTCCTCTTGCCCTTATCGAAGCCTTCACCTATAAAAAATATAACTTCAAGGGCGAGATAATGTCTCAGTAACCAAATGATCTAATCCATCTGCAAGTATGCTAAAATAGTACATGACTATGTGAAGTGGCCACTAAACTATTTATTCAAATACCATCAACATATGAATATATGTGCATCCAAACAAATGCATCATTAACACACCACCTTATATCCTCTGACTGAGTCTATGGGTAACAACTAAATAGGATCAAGTTTATGTGGCTGAACTTGCTCGAACTTACCAATCATGAGAGGCAACCCAACCAAAGATGCCTTCACCTATTCTCAAACCACATATTTCCTCTCTCTCAAATATTAGGATATGTCTAATCTATCTCCAAAATAATAGGGCTGTCGTATGCCTAACCTATCTCTTGATTTCAAACAATACTACAGCCCTTAGGATGAACTCCCACCCTCTCACAATAATCATGCTTACATAGTTTAATCAAACATCACACATCTACAAGATGGATATTTTCAAATTGATCACTAACATAACAATTTATAACTTCACAAGTACATTCATATTCATAGGATGGTATAACATTATTCTTTCAAATATATATATATATATATTTCTCCACTTCACATAAGTTTTTAAACCACAAATAAACATTCATATTGGTGTAGTACAAGTTTGAAAAATAATATATTATAGTTTCGTAAATTTCATAACCATACAACACACAAGTAAAATGATTAAATCATCCAATTATCTTATCCCTTTTGTCATAAAAAGGGTTATCGTGGCAATTTAGCAATCTTCTTAATTCCCACTAGCTCAAAAGATCATATCAATGTTTAATTTATAAAGTTAAACACTAAGTATTAATTAACAACTCTAATTAAATCCCCCTTTTTGCCTAATTTAGGCCCCCACATTACCTAAATTTTCTCCTTCAACATTGACATATGCCATTATTTACATACAATTTATGATGATTTTATTGTATTATTGCATTCTTGGAAGCTTAATTCTTGCATACTTAGGCATTTTTAGGACTAGAATCAATTAGGGTTCACTCTTAACCTAAATGTATTTTGGTCATTTTGATAATTTTTGAGACATTAGCTAAGCTTGTGTCTTTTGTTTTCTTAAGACCAATATAACAAGTTTGAGAGTCAAATTCATTCTAAGTTGTAAAGAAACATAAAAAGACATAAGTTATAGAATGTTTCAAGACAAAAACATTAATTTTAGGCTGTCATATTTTATAACTCAGGACCTTAAAAATGACATTGTATCATACAATTGGCTTTAAGTTTTAATTTAAAATTTTGCACACATGCTTTAATCATTGTTGTGTATATAATTGCAAATAAAAACAAGAATTTAGATGAAGATTAAGGCCAAAATATTAGATTACAAGGCAAACTACAAAGTAAGAAGAGCTTAGAGTGATACATATACAAGAGTTGATTCAAAGAGCTTCTAATGACTCTAAGCATTGAGGATTTCAACCAAGTAGCCCTTAATTACCCTTTCCTCATCATTTTAGAAGTGTTAGTGAGTTTTGATCAAGTGTTGAAGCCTTTAAGAAGAGCTACAAGTGCATTTAAATTACTCTAGCTTGATTAATGGTCACATTTATGATTTAACTTCTTAACCAAGTTGGTTAACTAATTTCAGATTTCTCCTTAGCTTTGATCACCTAAAACCCACTCTTTTTTTACTTATTTTATACCCTCACATGCTGATTAAGAAGGCTGGACATGAATCATAAGGCTCACTCACTCAAATCATATTATTTTCATCACTCACACACTCTTTCACTTCATAATTCTAGATTTGCCTTCATTTCATTTTTTTTCCTCAATTTTCTCTCATTCTCCTCACTTTTAGTCACCATTATCCTCTTCTCAATTAAGGTTTGAAGCTATTAAAGTCATTCAAGGAAGAATCTCTACATGGATTATGAAGAGAACCACTATGAGTAGCTATATCTTCTTAGAGCTCTTCAAAGAGATGAAGCCTATACTTGAGTTTTTCTAACTTTGCTTTTCATTTTGTTTTGCTTGTGATTCTTCTCATTTCTTCTTTGATTTTTTCATTTATGTTCTTGATGATTCAATCTAGGTCTTATTTCTCATCCTGGCCAAATTTTATGTTTAAAGAAAAAGAAGACGTGTACTTGATTCTTGAACTAATTATGCACTCAAAGTGTCTATGTTTATACCTCAAGATTTTGATGAATGAATACATATTTTCATTCAAATCTCTTATTGTTTGGACAGGCATTAGCTATTGTTTAGGTCTTAAACTCTAGTTAATATTATAATCTTGATTAGTTTAAGGTATTAAACATGATTAAGGCAAGAGCTAAGGCTAGTTTCAAGAGTTAAATCATAGATTGGCATAAGTCTTTAAGGTGTTTGTGAATTGATCTAATCACTTGTGCCTAGTCCTAAAGGTCATTTATGCATCTTCATATGTCAATTGAAGGGCAAGGACTGAATTGAATTAAGTTAGAAAGATAAGGATGGTGTAGGTAGATTCATTCCTTGGAGAGCTACTTTAAATATTTGGTTGAACCTTCATCATTTTTTTGTTATCACTTTGTCAAAAATCCAAAATTATAAACACTCCAAACTCTTAATCTAATTCTCCTTTACCATTAACTTGTTATAGTCCATGAATTGGTCTTAATTGCCATTGCTTGCTTCTATTGGATTAACATAACCTAGGGTGTACTCTCTTTTACATTTTAATTTTTTTTAAAAGCTTGACACGACTTAGGCCTTTCAAGCATAAATAACACTTTAACTATATTCCATTAATTTTATTTAATATCTAAACACTTAGATAGAATCAAATTTCTTTTCACTTAAGGTTCATCCAAACCCTAGCTAAAGATCTCAAATCACCATATAATCATCAATCCTAGGTTTATAAACTTATTTAACTCTCGAAGGCTCCTACTAAGCCAATAGGTTTGGTTATACTCCAAGGAGAGACAAAAACAACACCTAACTATACTAAAATCTCTCAAAATTCAGATAAAAAAGGAGACAGGAGAGTTTGGAGACATACCCAAGAGTTAATCTAGTGTAGAATGCCACCACAATGAACAAAGAGTGAAGCCCTAGAAACTAAAAGCTCTTCCTCCATCACCTCTCGTATTTTTCTCCTTTCCTCTTTTGTTTCTCAAGCTGGCTCATGATAGATTTATCAAAATTTTGTTTGATCCGTCATGGTGCATTACTCCTTCACCAAAGCAGATTACACAGCAAAGCCAATCTAAATTTTAGCCTTGCATACGAGCTTGGTTAACTCGAACTCCATCTTAATCCACTTCCAAAACTATCTAATGATCCAATATCCTCTTTAGTATTTTGAAAATACCATTAACTTGATATTCTAATAGTTTTTTTACCAAGTTACTCTTTTCACTATTTTAAAAAAATTTAAAGTTTGAAATTGAGGATGTTACAATAGTAGTGTAGAATAGTTAAAGGACCAACTCTTACATATAATTAATTATAAGGGAAGATTATTCATTATAATTACAAATCTTAGAATACAAAATCTCTATATTTCTTGAAGATTCAATCATAGGATCAATGATTAATCTTGAAAGGCCAGATGAATTTTACAATGAGAAAAAAAATTATTTGGTTGGGCAGACGAGGGAATTAAAGATGTGCAAGAAAGTAAATCTCACATGAGGATAGGCTTTAAGGGTATGGATGATGTTCTGTTGCAAGAAGTCTTCAATGGTTAGGACAAAAAGATTGAAGCTTCGGGTTATATGGATATTGAGGCTAAGAGAGGCACGGTAGAGAAGGCAACAATGAATAGAAGCTACAACATTTCTAAGCAATGACACAATCACCATGAAGATGAGGAAGAAAGATCCAAGACCTCATAATTGAAAGAGGATTAATTTAGTCCTTTTTCTTTAATATTTTAATTTTACTTCATTACCCTTAGTTTGAAGTGAAGTTTTAGGGTTTAAGAGGCTCTCTCTTTAATTAAGTGTGGTCAAAGGATTTAGATTGAAATTTTCTCATAATCAATTGGAAGAATCCATGGTGGGCTGGCAAGCAAGACAAAAGATCCACGTCTTGTTGCAGGATTCGGTTCACTGTTCGCGGGCAGTGCCATGATGTCCTACGATGCTTTGTTTTTAATAAGCCTTCTTGTTGATTGTAAATCTTTAGAAAAGGAATATCAAGTCATTTTTGGGAAGAATTCAAAGCTGCAAAATTACGAGTGATTTCTCAATCTTTTGTTAATAATTACTTCATTCGTTTCTGAATTATATGAGAGAAACTACTATGTATCTCTTTATTTTTATTTATACGTGTAAAACTATAAATTTCAAGAAATATTTATTATTTTTTTCAAATTATTCTTCCTAAAATTAATGTTTATTTTTATTAGAAAAATTTATTTCATTAATTATAAAGGGAATTAGTTTAATTTTTTAATTCAAATATAATTATTATACTTAATTAATTTTTTTAAACTGCGTTGACGGAGAGGGTACTTTAAGAAAAGGCAGCTATTTTTACTTATGAATAACTCACATGCTCCTACATAAACGTAGGAGGAAGCTTCCATGCAAAAGGAAACGAGATTCCTTCCGGTTTCCACTACTGTAAAAGACAGAAACATGAAAGAGAAAAGAAGTGTCCGTATGGCGTATACAAAATTAATTTTTTACTGTCTGTCTCTCTCTCTCTCTCTCTCTCAATTTGTACTTCATTGACTTGCTGTAATTAATCAAGTGCGGTTTTTGTGAAAAAGCAAAAGTAAAAATTTCAATTTTTTTGCCCTTGACCTTGACGGGGATAAGATCATGAACTAGGCCTTCATTCCAGGAAGAAGAGTAATACCTTTTCGGACCACCTTGCAACATTTCAGGCTCCAAAGTCCATGGGAAGCCATATGGCCCAAAGGCCAAGAGTTCCAGCCCCATTCACTGTTCTTCCGACTATAAATTTTTGACGATAATTAGAATACCTCATTTACCCAATAAAAAAAAAGTAATTAAAATACCTGAAGTATTTTCATCGGTTATTTGACGATGCTACATCATTAAGTTGCACAATTTTTTCGTCAGAAAGGAAACTAGACTTTCAAAGAAATCTAACGTGGATCTAGAAAAGCAGAGAAACGTTCCCGATGCCTCTCAGTCAACAACTCCACAAAAACAGATAATTATAAAAGAAAATGGAAGTTTTCAAGCAATTAATAGCCTCGAAAAATATAGTGTTTCTAGAGATAGTATCTCGGAACTATGGGGATCATATGGACAACACGGAGAGTGTTGACCTACATAATAGCGTACAGCCGGTAAATAACTTAGTGCTTCCTCAGTCCCAGTCATTCAAAGTGAAGAAAACACCGGAAAAAGCAATGATGACGAGTACAACATAAATAGTTGAAGACGAAAGAGCTTAGGAAAATACGAAAGGTAAGATAAAATTAAGGGCACTTGGGTCTGTTGCCATGGGTGAGCATATCAGTGTAGCACTTGCCACAGACTTCGCGGTTGCCGTAGGTGCCAGGCGGAACACATTTGCATCGTTCACAGCATGTCGTGCATGCTCTAACACAAACTCTCTTTCTCGAGTGCAATTGGCATCTGTACTCGCATAGTGGCACGCAATCTGCCCATCAACCACTTTTAATTATCAGATCAATTTACGTACGTGCACACTCACTCACAACTAATTAACAAAAGCTCACGGCTATGTATGTTCTGATTATGCTAGTATTTAGAAATTACCCTTGTTTGATTTAACAATAGGAGCTGGAGGCGGAGCTGGTGCGACCGGCGGCTTCACTGGAGGCGGTGGAACCGGGGCCTTCTCCGGCGCCGGAGGACTTGGATATGGTGTCTTCACGACTGGAGGAGGAGGAGTTACTGGCTTCACTGGTGGCGGAGGAACATGCGCCACCACAGGAGGGGCAGGAGGCGGTGATGACACTGGAGCTTTCACGTAGTTCATCTGTAGATCAAACATCATATTCTCATGCACTCTCATAGGGATCTCATTACTTATCTAGTTTGATACAGAATTGCAAATCCTCTTTCTTTGTTTTTGATTCAGGAAAGCCAAACCAAACCAAACCAAGAGGAAATGTGATGAGGCTGCGATAGTGAACCATACCTTTATCTTAACTTCCTCATCATATGAATGAACCTGCAGAGAAAAGAAAGTTGGGATTTCCAGGGTTAGTGCACTTGAACCGACCAAACTAGTATGCTTGTTACCCAAATCTGCTTCGGATCAGAGTGAAGCACCATACCTCGGTAGCCATCACAAGGAAAAGGGCCAGCAGAAGAGTAGTTGATTTGGAAGCCATTATTGTATAGAAGAAGAGTGAAAAAGAAGTGAAGAGAGAAGGTTGTCAGTGTTGATTGACGGAGCAAGTGCCAGAGTACTCTAGCTTATATAGAGGGAGAGGATAAAGAGTTATAATGTTCAAAGCAAATTAAAATTCGGCTGCGTACAGTAATAAGCTGTATTTTAGGGAGTGTGTCGCTGTCCCCGAAATTGAGAGATAGGGTGTGAACCCACATGCCTTAACACGGTGTGCTGAACTAGAATATATATTTCTCATCAAAGTGTGTGTCGCCAGCAATGAATGCTGCTAAATTCGATGCTTGTCTATATGAACTTGGACTACTAATTAACCCACATCTCCCCGGATGAGATCTCATGAGTTCTGACCTCATCTCCATTGATATGACGAATTTAGCAGTTAAAATACTATTTAAACTGAATGGTGTCACCTAATCTTGTCTCACAGGGACTTGGAGATCGAGTAACATACTAACAGTCTAACACTAAATCGCAGCTAGTGAGCGGTGCCCTAGTGCCGCACATGGACAAATGTGGGAGGCACGTGGGCCAAATGTAGGCTGTCACCGAAGCTTTTCTTTGAAGTCAACTTGAAGAAGAGGAAAAACATGTCTGTAACACAGCTAATATGAGTGCAAACTTCTCATCACAATAATGTTGTTGTTGGCAAAGGTTTTTGGTGTCTGTGCGAATTTGCAAGTCTGCCAAGTTTACAATTAAAGCTGAAAAGCATAGGAAAGAGCAATGTGCACAGAACTGTACAACGCACAAGGGTTGGGTTCGTTCTGATGAGCTTCTCCGTCGATTCCAGACTTGAAGAAGAAGATACCTTCAGCCCAAAAGAAGATACCTTCGTTGCCATTTATTAACAAATTAAATAAACTGGGTTCCATAGCTAGCTCGTATGGTTAGGTGAGATGGAGGTAGATGTTCAATTTGATGAAAAAACGCTATTTTATGTCCATGAAAAATTACGATCCTTAAATCACATTTGCTCATCAGAATAAAATAAAATAAAATTAACTAAAAAAATAAAAATAAAAATAAGATAATTTAAAGAAGTAGGTGAATTCATAAAAAAGAAGGATAATTTAGTTCATAAAATTATAAATTATTATTTATAAAATTTTTAGAGGGTATAATAATTTTTACATTTATAATATATATTAATGAGCTTTATTATGCTTATTATGAGAGGAAAGGTGATTTAGTTTATTTTAATCTTGATCTTTTTAATTTATTTTATTTTATTTTATTCTAGTATGGAAATGTGACCTTACATATTGATAATTTACATTGACATGGTTGTTGATTTTACTGAATATGCCTTTTCATTAGAAACAACGTCCCTTGTTAATTTTTTAAGAACTAGGTTTATGCCTGGGAATGTTTTAGTAAGATAAAAATAAATATAACATAAATATTTAAAAAATTATTTTAGCATACTTAAAGTAACATATATTACCCCATGTGAATTAAAATTTAAGGAGCAGCCTCGATGTTGCAATATGCTAGCCTTATACACGTATTAAGAAAAAAAAAAGATCAATATTTTTTCAAATTTTTTACTTCCTGTAATTTAAAATATAATTTAACTTATCCCTTTTAAAAAAATTTTGTTACCTGTATCACCTTAAGAAAAATTAAATATGTATTATAATGAATCATTCTACAATTTATGTCATAATATTTTTATAAATCATAATTATAATAATTATAAATTAAGTTAATAATATAATCCATGTTATAATACTTTTTGTCAATCATATGTACATGTATTACAAGCAATACAACAATTGAGAAAGATTGAGCATTCAATGGAATGTAAATTCGATTAACAATATAATTCATGGTATAATAATATTTGTCAATCATATGGTACTCTATGCATTTTAAAATACAAAGAATAATTTATTATTCCATGACGTCTATTATCCCCACATAGTTAAAATTTAAATTTAAAAATAAAATATTTTATTTTATAATTTATCACTTAGCTTTATATTTTATTTTACAATTTATAAACTCATACATAAAAATTACAAGAAAAATTTATTTTATTTATAATTTATTATTTTGAATAAATTAATTTAATTTACACTTTTGAGTAAATTAATTTTTATAACTTTTCAAAATAAAATTTATAATTTTATTGCATATTTGAGGGCTATCATTTTTATTCAAAATCTTACATTTATTATAAATTTTTACTATAAATCCTATGTGATTTTCTAAAATATAATAATCTTATTATTTTTTACATTTTGTCTAAATTTTTAATATTTACATATGAGAATTTATATACTCTTTCTGTTCAAAAATATAAGACATTTTTAAGGAGTTGAATATTAAAAAATATAAGACATTTTTAGTCTTTCAAGATGTAATCATTATCTTTTTTTCAAAAATGTCCCTATTGATAATAACTTTATATTTATTGTAAGGTATTTAATAAGAATAAATATGAAAAGATGGGATTAATTTAAAAGTAAATAATTACTTTAGTAAGAGTGAGATTCGATTAAAAATTTTTTATATTTTTTAATAGAGAAAGTAGTAAAAATTTTTCACCTATACAAATAAAATTTATTAATTAAATTATGAGTCCCACACGGCCATGTCCACTTTTTCTAATGGTGGGTCTTATATTTATTTTTTTAATTATGAGTCTCACATCTATATTTCTTATTTTTGCTAACAAAATTATTCATTAACTATTTTTTAACAAAAATTGAAAAAAGATAGTATAATGTTCAAACTTCAAAGCACTGCTTTGACATTACACTGTACCATATAATATATTTATATATTGAATATGGATATTAATATTGATAATGGTGATTTTTTATTTAACAATAAATAAAATTTATAATAATTTTAATGAAAAATATGCTATTATAATTTACTACGTGTATTGATATTGATGATGATGCTTTTTTATACAACAAAAAATAAAATTTATGAGAATTTTTATCAAAAACATGTTAATTGATTTTATTTTCCAATGAACATTGCGATCAGCTGAATAAAGATGTCGCTACAAGAACACCAACGCCCCTAGCGTTTGCGGTCAGGCAAAATTAGCAAAACTATAACTAGTGATTTAGTTAAAGATATATACATATATATATATATATATACATACATATATTTCACTAGAATGTCTTGAAATTATTTTAAAGATGTGAAGAAGATTTCAAAAAGAGGCAAAGGAAAATTACATTCACATCCCAGATAAGAGAATTTATTATCAAAAAATTTTATAAAATTTATAAAATACTCTTAAATTTTAAATTTTGTGCACTTATAATTTAATTAAAGTTATTAATAACTAAACAATAATCATTTATAATTTATCATTTTATTTTATAAATTATAAATAACTGTTAATCATTTGTCAATATTTTTAATTAAGTTATAAATATATAAGATTTAAGATTTAAAAATATTTTATAAATTTTATGTGAACTTTTAACAATAAATTTTTTATGTAACGTATAGATAAAATTTTTTTTAAAAAAAAAATATATATATATAATCATTGAAGAAAAATCACTGTTGTTGATCTAGAGAGTCCATTGGTCACCCTCAAGATCTTCTTGGGCCAACCGGCCATTTTTAATTACTAATTTACTATACCACGCGACCTTTGCCTTCAAGTATCATGCCTTTTTTCCTGGCTGCAGTTAATGCCTCCCTCCTAACATCTCGTTTACAAATTACGATGTATTCTTTTTAAAAGTACTTCTAAATATCTTAAATTAATTAATAGGAGTAGTGTTTAAATCATTAATTTTATTCAAAAATAGATTAAACTTTAAATTTTAAATCTATTTAAATAAATAATTTTTAAATTTACACCATATTATCTCTCATAATTAATGAGTTTAAATAAAAATAATATTAAAAAATATAATTAATATTTCATTAAATATCTCATATTAAGAACTAAAAATTTTTTTCAAAAACTTTATAATAAAGACCAGAGAAAGTATTTCCACATTTTTTATTATTCAAGAAAAAACTTAAATTTTGTGTTTAAAATTTTAAAAATATTTTACTCATATAAAATATTTTCTTAAAAATTCATATTTTTGAAATCAATATTAAATGGAGATAAAAAATTGTTACAAATAATAAATATGATACCTTATAAATAGAATCAATACTCATATAAAATATTTTCTTAAAAAATTCATATTTTTGACATCAATATTAAATGGAGATAAAAAATTATAACAAATAATAAATATGATACCTTATAAATAGAATCAATACTCATATAAAATATTTTATTAAAAAATTCATATTTTTGACATCAATATTAAATGGAGATAAAAAATTGTAACAAATAATAAATATGATACCTTATAAATAGAATCAAGAAATCACTCCGTGATGATATTTTTTTCCCGTATTCCGTGCCTTGTATATATTTTTCATGTAATTGCACTTGTTTCCCAAACAATGAAACTCATTCAGTAACAGTGTTAAAGCAGAAGCTGTGTTGAAGAATAGTTCAATTGGGGTAGGGAGGGAAATGAATGATTGGGTGAGTTGGGCTGAGCTTAGGATTCCAGAGGGTGGGCCATGGCCAGCGCAGCAAGAGCAGTTAAGTTGGTAGTAAGCGGTCGGCCACCGAGCAGTAGGCTCCACAACATTGCCTCGTCCGCACTCCAAAAAGATAACATCCTTCATATTCTATTAGACAATTTTTTAGAAGGATTTTTTTTATTTTTAATGTTCACTCTGATTTTAAATATAAAAAAAAACTTAATTTATATGATTTTAGAAAGTTGATCAAGTATAATAACCATATTTAAATAAAATTTTTGAACTAAATTATTTTTATAATTAATGAAATAAATTTGATGAGTGAAAGTAAACATTGACTTTATAAGGAGTAATTTAAAAAAACTATAATGAATGCTTTTTAAAATTTATAATTTTGTTAATAAGTAAAAATAAAGAAACAAATAATAGTTTCTTTTATATTTGAAAACAGGTTAAGTATAAGATATTGGTGGTGGTGGGTTATTTATCATATTTTTTAATATTATCTCTATTTAAAC